TCTCTTCTCTCTCTCTCTCTCTCTCTCTCTCTCTCTCTCTCTCTCTCTCTCTCTCTCTCATTAATGCACACGATATTTTTGAGTCAAAATCCAATTTCCTCTAAATATAAGATTCAATAGATCACAAATAGTATGATCTGAACACCAGATTTTGCAAAGACCCACAAATCATCTTCCTTTCCTGCAAACTAGAGTTCCTAAAGAAACGTACAAGAATAGAGCAATTGCTACTTTGATGGATGAAAAATCTTCCTAATCAGATCATTGTACCATTCAGTAGAAACATATAGATCATCATGACTAAATGTCATGCATCTCAGAGTATTCTTCTAAAATAGTTCAAATTCTAATAATTACTTCCTCAAAGTAGTTTTTAAAGAATCCACGAACAAACTCAACGGATAAGAAGAATGATGTCAAGCTCAGAAACTAGCAGCATCATTGACTCATCGACTCAGGTTCTAACAACTGGCTACCTGAACCACTACATGCTTCTAGGCAGGGGCAGATCTACTGCCTAGCTGGGAGTGCAAATGCACCCCTTGCCATTTTAGAAATTTGCATGTAAAGCCATGCAAATTCCCCCCCCCCCCCCCCCAAAAAAAAAAAAAATAAAAAAATTCTAAAATTGCAACCCCAGACCCAAGCAATCTAAAAACACTAGAGAACTTAGTGAATTGCCCATTGAAAAGCAAAAAATCTATTTAAAATTTTAACAATAAAGGGTACTAAGTGCATTCTCATCAGATACTATAGTTTTATAATATTATATTTTTATGTTTATGTATACATACATGTCGTTCGGCCCAATCCGCCCCGCCCCTGCTTCAAGGCCATTTCATATGTCAACTAGTTGTTCTGATGATGTCCAGGTAGCTGCATTAACTTATGAAACCAGTTTATGATATGTCTTCAGTTTACACTTGCAGAGAAGTTTGATTATGGTACGATCTTCACAATTACAATTGCATTGCAGGACCACATGATAATGCAGCTTTTACTCAAATTCGGGATTATAGGATCATTGATATGTCTATATCTTTATCTAAATGTTTATGTATATGCATATGCATGCCATATGATATGTGATGTGTATCTGTATGTGTGTATGCGTATATCTATGTGTAATAGTGTATACGGGCACGACACACAGATACACCTTACATGTCTGTGTGCGTGCGTGTGCACGTGTGCGCAGGTGCGCGTGTGTAATATGTAAGTGTGAGTGTACGTGTGTGCTCTAAGGTGACTTCTTAGATAATTGTCTAACGAATCAAATCACATCTTGGAGCATCGCAATGATGCTCCACACTATTTATCATGATTATCAATCCAAACTGATTGTACAGAAAAAAAAAATCCTGTTATTTGAACTCACTATTGATCAAATGCTTTATGGTCTGACGGTGAAAAACTGCTCATTTTGCAACTATGTTATGCATGGAAAAAAAACGAAAAGAAAAAAGTAATCTTAATGCACAAGTATTTCAAGATAGAATCATGATGAACAGTGTCACATCCATAAAAATGGTCTATGGTGAGATTTTAAACCTAAGAAGTATGTAATTGCCTAAGGAGTCACCTTACAGCAGTCTTACCTGTATATAGTATATGGATAGATAATTATAGAAAAGGGGTACTAGACAATGTAAACAATTTACTACAAAATTGAGAGGTTCAGTTCTGAAATGCTTATAAAAAGAAAGCCTTATGTAAACTAAATACTGACATTACTAGACAATTTGCATACTTCGAGGTCTCACCATCTATAGGTTTCTCAACAAAAGGCTTCCAAAACCGCTTTCCACGCACTTCAACAAAGTCTTCTTGCTCAACAAAGTAGTCCAGCTCTTGATAAGGGAACTCTCTATTTACAAGCGCATAATTTGGAACTGGAACTCCGAACATTTCAAGACGCTTAAGCAACAAAAAGACAGATAAGAATTTTTCATTTTAATGGTCTAATCAATCAGCTAATCTTATCTATTACAAAAAAATTAATCAGATCAGTGCACAACTCTTTTTATTTAAGGTATAATGAATCAGCTAATTCAAAGGAACAGCACTGGAGGGAGATCAATCCAACACAACCAAAAAATAGTACCAGCAATAATTCTTCTTTTCATTACTTAAAATAAACTAAGATAGTTATTAGAATATGTCATATGCATGGTGTATGTCGTGTGGATATTGGCAGGTCCATGTCCACAAATTCATAACATAGCCCCCAACATCTACAACCCAACAGTGATTAGCTTTGCACTAAATATTGAACTTTCCTCCTCCATGCCTACAAATCTTCTTAGGTCAGATCCAGGGTGGGTCAAAATATTGATGCAGACTCAATGAAGTAATATTCATAGTATCAAAATATTTGTCCCTCTGAGTCAAGAAACCTTACCTGTTCATAAGCATGAAACTTTTACTTCATAATATATTTGTTTGTAAGTTGTAGTTTTCAAATTGTCCTATAGCCTTTCACACACAACAACAACAACAAAACTACATGAGATGTTATTTCCCTAGTGTACACTTTCTTCAGAGTTAACAGCTCGTATTAATCATTGACCATAAACAAGATAAAAGCTAGGGTTTAACAGGTTACTGAAACTCCTCTGAGGAATCCTTTAGAATCCTCCTTTGGAAAAAGTGGTATGGGGGTGCAGTTAGACAGTCACTTAAGCTTAAGTGGCACTCAGACCTCCTGCACCAGTTTCGGGAGTACCTTAGCAGCAAGGCCAGTTACAGAGCACCGCGTCAAAAATAGGTATGATGCTCGCTAAAGCATAGGTACATCCCTAATGAGTGAAGAGAACAAGTCAGGTCAGAACTCGATATCCAAATCCATCGCAGGTAAAACTGTGAGGATTAAGTTTTGAAACTTCAAAAAAAATCTTCCACACTCAGTGCCTCATTTCAATCTTCCTCTTTGCCGCAGAGTTGTAAATCTCATACCTTCCATTCCATTACGTCAGAAACAATCACCTTAAAAAAGTTAAAAAGTGCCAAAAACATCTTAATGCCGCTTAAGCGACTGCCTAGGCTTGTGTGCTCAGCAGTCGCATAGAAACGCCCAACGCTTTGTAAAACACTGTTTGGGATACATGCTATGACAGTCTTTGCCTCGAGGGCACTATCATGCCATTACATAACAACCGTAATTGGATATATGCAAATGCTGAATATTATGACACAAAATAACTGTACCATTACGTAGTGTAAACGGAATTAGATAATGCAAGAAATGACATAACATTATCTGTAGTACAACTTATTAGCATACAACAAAATCTAATGCATCTCATAGTAACTAAATACTGAGAGATTAATTACCTCATAAACTTTCCTCCGATCATGGAGAAGATACTGGGGTTCCAATTCATTCACAAGGAAGGGCCTGAAAATAACATATTGTAAGTAAATTATTAGACCACGAATTAGTATCGTAGCTGTTTTAAACCCACCTTCACTGACAAATGAAAAAAGCTTTTGGAGAATTTTTATGAGAGGTACTTGAGTTTTAAAACTTAAAACTCAAACAAACTAGGTAATTAATTTCCAGTTTTTAATTAAAAATGTTAACATCTAACAAGAAGCCAAGAACGTATGAAAACCAAGTAGCACGGACACGGACACCGATTCGGACACGGTATACAGCAAATTAGTAAAATGTAGGATACGGGGCCACAGTATATAATACACACACCTGATCAAATAAAAATAGTAATAACATTTGTATGTTTCTTTCTATTATCTATAACAATTAAGAATCAAGTTAAATCAAACAAAGAATAAGATTTAACAACAAAAAGGTTAGTTTTGACCGCATGGGATAATATGATGAGTGTTTTTCAAATATTTAAGTAACAGATTTCAGTTTTCAGGTTAAAAAAAATTGGTTTTGAACCTGATATTACCAGAGAAACTAGTTTAGGGTATAAGTGATGGGGGAAATCTTTTTTTTCTTTTTTTACCACAAGTGTCCCTGGAGTGTCTGCGGAGAGTCGTACACGGAAAAGGCACCCAAAACGAAGTGTCCATGTTACCTAGATGAAAACTAAATAACAGAAACTGCAACCAGTGCATCAGTGGGACACAAGTACAGATTACTCAAGCCTTGAGCTGATATGAACAGGTTAAAACTAAACAATAAGAGAGTTATTGGGTACAGAGATTATCTAAATCTAAACATATTGCATGGTATAAGATCAAGATGAGATCCGTGACGCTTCCCCTTGAATGCAGCAAATTTAAATTAAATATGTAACCAGAATAACTGCCCTTTCCCACAGAGGACAAGATGAGATCTCACAGCAAGGTTCGAAAACAATGTACAGAAGGCTTCGTCGCAAGTAGATTTATTTTCTTTATGCTCACTAGACTGAATAATGGATGCCACCAAAAAGAATTTCCAACATAGTCAAAAAGAAAATTGTTTAAACTCTTCATTAGGAATTCAACGTATAAAATTCCAGTAAAAATGTTCATAAATGATATGTTAATTGACAAAAACTATTCTTCAAACCCAAATGAAGCAACATCCAAAATATGTATTTGGTATGCAACCCCCCAACCCCCCACACCCATACCCCGAAAAGAAAGCAACAACAACAACTATTTATTTGGTCATAGATTGTAGTTAATATTATAAATGGGCTCCCAGCCTATCTGCATCATATTGCAAGTGTGTTACAATTGTTTGAACTATTATATCATCTATATTAGAATACTCAAGCTACCTTCCCCAGTTTCTGGAGACTTATCTAATGAATTCATTCCGCCACTTGTTCATTTTGCTACAAACTTGAGAATAAAGTATGCAAAAGTAAGGAGTTCTTTGCTAAAGTAACTAGCATCCATTAATGCAAAGGTCACAGAAACAATTATCAGAAAGAGAAGAGGAATACAATAAATATTCCCATCAAAGAAATACACACACACACACACTGAAGTAAGTATTTACTATATCAGCTGATCAAAAAATTTCAAACTGAAGTAAATCATATGGTGTGTACATTAAATTACACATCTAGCACTTTGATTAGAACAAAATTTATGATAGAAAACTTAGTAGCAGAAAAGTTGAGTTATAACAAGCTGAGAACATATTGCAATAAGATGCAGAATTGTCCAAGTTGGAACTTAAGAAATAATATGTAAAGTGTAAACAAAACACTGAAACAAATAGCATTAGCAGATGCATGGTGCAAGAAATGTAAGTTGAGCAAGATCTTACTTTCTTAATGCAGCATACATCTCAGCCTTCTTAAGTGGATAACCAGTAGAATGGAAGGCAATCAAGCAATCGCAAATCGGCCAGCTGCAATGGAAAAATAATGTAGAATGGTCATGCCAACTAAGACAACCATCATAAACCTATAATGTGGAAAATCTTTACACTGGTTATGCATATCTATGTATAAGGGGAACCAAAGGATCCATAAACCTATAATGTGGAAAATCTTTACACTGGTTATGCATATCTATGTATAAGGGGAACCAAAGGATCAAACTGAGGGTGATAAACGAATTACTTACACTGGTTATGCATATCTATGTATAAGGGGAACCAAAGGATCAAACTGAGGGTGATAAACGAATTACGAGGATTTTATTAGATTGTATGAAACAAGTATCTTCTAAGGGAAGAATGCACCCATACACATACAGGAATTAAAAACAAAGAAAATGACAAGACCACTCGGCTGTACATCGCTCCGTTTGCTTGGCACAGTTTGCCCTAAATTTTAATACAGAAGTATGTATAGCCAGATAAATATGTTAAGCATTTTTAATGCATAAAAAAATTTCTCGTTAGATACAATGGTTATCATGTTTATCTATAACCCCTAGATTCAAGTTAAGAAAAATGCTGCCGCCAACAACAGAAAGAAAACAATAGCTTAAAAGACTTGCATTAATGTGACGTGAAACTAGATTTTTTGAGAATGCAGTTAAAACCAAATATAATGTGCTTCAAATTTTCTACTTAAGATTTGATGGGATGGATCTATGCAAGCAAGGTCTTCATTATATAGTGGGAACTGAAAAGCCCCTCGAAGCATTTAATTTGATTGACCATGTGCCTTTCTTTAACTAATGACATCTAGGATGATTTTTTGCGCCTTCAATTCTTCATATGATGAGATGAGACACATTCAGGAGCTTCGTAGTTATGACAGTATAGATATTTTCTGACTGTGGACAAAAACATACTTCTCTACAGGTTCCTCAAGAATGACTTTGTCGCCAAAAAAGATGACCTGCAGAAAGTGAACAAATTGTCAAATATAACTGACGAGAAAGCTAAAACATTGAAATAATGCAATAAATACCTATAATTAAATTATAGCTGATTACTAACAGGGAAAATGAATACATGCACCACATGAAAATATGCCATTGCAAAGCACAAAAAGGTGATTTGGTTATTTTAGGCTGGGTATGAACCCAAATTCATGCAAACTTAATAACAGGACACTCTAAGTTCCAAATCCACTTCATTCATCACAATTGAATGCATGTATAGTTATGGCTTCCAACTGTGGACGGACCATCATCCTGATAATATTTACTAACCTTTAACTGTCATATCGATATATTTTCCATAGATAATCATCTAATGCAGGCACTAAGAGTTAAGGAAAGGCACCCATCAAACTCTCTCATCTAGCTTTCACAATATCTCCTCCCCTATCAAACAAATTGCCAAACACAATTGAGTCATGGCTGAAGGGGTTCAATTTTAGATAACTGTTGAAAACACTTCCTCCCTCCCTCTACATCAACACGGGGGATGCTCCAGATGGGACCCATATGGCAATATCATTATGAAGTTCATGAATCATGGCAAGTGATATTTATTTTGTGTTCTCCATGCACGTGATTTTATTATAACTACGCAAGCTAATCTGTTATGAACGGTAAATAGTATTACTAAATACGTTCACAACAAAAAAAACGAAACTTTTGTACTCATAATAGCAGTTTTTGTGATAGTGACTTTACATGTCATAGCATTTGGCTCTTCTTGACTTGCTCTAACTTTTCATAATAAAGTAGGATCATTCTAGAATATTATGATAAAAAATTCTCTTATCATACACCGAACATGAAAAGAAAATAAAAAAATCTCATACAAAGAGTATGATCTGAAAGATACCTCGAATTCTCCGAACGCCTGCAGCCTGTCCAGGATCTGGCCCATAGGAGCAGAGAACACCTACACAAAACAACAACAACATTAGCAGACAACACCTTTTTATTGAAAGAATCAATGTGCGCTTTGAATCTTACCATTTTCCTCCCCTGAAAATAAAAAACAAAATAAAAAGAAGGAAAAAAGGAGAAGAACCTCCGATCCGCATTTCACCTTCTTTACCATGACGCAGACGCCGATCTTGATCTTCTCCATTGCTGCAGCTCCTCCCTTCCTCTGCCCCTGGCTGCGCTTTTCAAATTCAAATCCAGAGATTTCTCTTTCCCCTCTTTTTTTTTTTATAATAAAAGGAGGCTAAAAAATACTGTAGTGCTTTCTTCACTTTACGTTTTCTAATTAAACTTTTTGTTTGGCCTGAAGGGTAGGCTATCTAGAGTCCACGAACGCGGATTCAGTTCCAGACGGTGGACGATGAGTAAGGGATCAGGATGAGGATAATGATATTTTTTTCCTATTTTTAGTATTTTAGTATTAATATTAACATCCGAGGCAAAAGGAGAAGTTAGGTTCGAGGAATTGATGAGATAGCGATAAAGTTTTCAAACTCGGACGGGGTCGCTGTCGCTGAAAATGTTATGGTCGGGGATGTTTGTGGAGGCTGCGGGCGGTGGGATTCATCATGTGAACTTCGTGTGATCGCGGAATGGGTTGGGCCCCACTGATTCTGGAATCTTGGAGAACTTCGTTGGTGGGCCCGAATAGGTGGGTGTGCGGATCGATTGCGATCCACGCTGATCCGTTTTAACGCGCCCCTGAACGGATACGGATGGGGGAGGCGAGGTCGGGATCTGGCGAGGGGTCAGCTAGGGCTGAGCGCTACGTGCGGCGCGAACGAATAAAGTGGCCGAAACATTCGATTTGGTTTTAGGAAAAACAAAATCAGTTCAGTTTGGTCAAGGAAAAATTGAAATTGAAATAATGGAATCGATCAATCTCAACATTATTGTGTAAAAAAAAGCTCACGCTCTTGGTAGGTGAAAAGATGGTTTATACTAATATTTTTATATATCTTAAACGATTCATGTTTGATTCTAGTTTATAAAATAATTGGTCCGACCAGTTTGCTTTTAAACTTGAGACCAAGATGTTCGGAGTTATAAGATTATTAGTTTTCAGCTAACGGATTCTCTGACTTGACTTGGATATGCTCAAAATCGAAACGGCTTGCTTCGGTTCAGTTCGGTTTCAAATCTAATCCGGTTTGGTTCGCTTTGAAAAAGATTAGTTAAAACCAATCAAAACAACCGTTTACTCACCCGTTGAGGTCATCAGCTGTTTTCGTTTCGAAGATGAGCAAAGATATCGAGGGTGTGGGGTGCGTATGGCTCGGTCTGTAAGTTACTCAGGAACCTATTATCCAAATGCGCAGATGCCACCGTCACTTCTGAATTTTTCTCATCTCTAAAGTTGAGAGTGTATTTTTCTATCCTAACTCTTTATCACATCGCCACACATTCATTGGGACGTTGCGGTTGTACTCGTTCTTTTGGCGTGTTGTTCTTAAGCATCCAGTGCCATATTTGTTGTGCTCATTCTTTTGGCATATTTGTTTTCAAATATCCAGCACTCTTTACGGACATCTGATGCTAGTATAACCATCACACTGTTTGGATTATTCCGTAATAATCATATAAAAAAATCCAAATTCTAACACCACTTGACTTTTAATAAATTGGTTTGCTTGATTCTGTGAATCGCCCTCTACAATCATGTCATATTGTTTAATGAATAACCCTAAATGGTGAGATTGATCCTTGCATTTCTCCACTCCACGTGCCATATCTTCATACCTTATGTCTACAATCTGCATACGCATCAAGCTTCATTTGAAAATCATTATACGCACCATCTCTATAACTACCTACCAAACAACAAAAACATGCACTGAGAAGTGAATCTAGAGTGAAATTTTGCTGAAACAAAGCAAAGCTACCCGGTTAATCTCCCCCAAAAACTTAAGAACAAATAAACCACCAGACCAATCACCCCTATGAAAAGCAAATAAAAGAGTGTCCTACAATAAACAAGCCATGTCAAATTAGTTTCTTCTAAAAACCACTTACCCATCAGACCTCCACAACCACCCCACATCCAATAAGCCTGTCATTGTCATATATTAAGTTCTGCAGGGCAATTATACCACTAAACATGCAGAAATCTAGAGAAAGAAACAGGGGTGTGAACAAAATGCAGATCGTCTTCAGATTGGGCAGCAGCCATTAAAAAAAAAGTTTCACGCTAGCCAAAGCTAAGAGTCTGCCCCCACTTCAGCCTGACCACCATGGTGGTTGTTGTTATACATGGCTGAGCCGCCTGACCTACCGCCTCCTCTCCCCCGATTGTTGTGATAGTTTCTTGGATAATAACCTGAGTCATAATACTGTTGGTTTTGGCCGTTCTGGTACCTGCCACTGCCACCTCCGCGGCCCCCACGACCAACGCGGCCGTTGGGGTAACCCCTTCGGGCCCCGCCGCCTCCACCTCTGCCACCTCTTTGGTTTTGATATCCTCTTCGAGGGATGTATTGTTGTTGCTCCTTGTGGTCGGGATCTCTCTGGCTGCGTTCCATATCTGTTTCTACTCTTTCCTGCTCCTGTTGAACTGTAAGACTGTCTCCTGAAGGAATTTGTGTCTCATCCTGATAAGACCGAAAAATAGAAGATATTTAGTGGCAACAAGGTAGTGTATGATGCGACATCTATTCAGGCTCTGGAAGTTTTGTATACCACATTCTCAGATTCATTTGGCGGACTAGACTGATCACCGCTGCTTTCGACTGCTTGAGATTCTCCCTGCTCATCCTCCTGTGGAAACAGATGTGATCAAAAGTAAGCATTAACAGCTTGAAATAATAGCATGAAGCAAAGTTATATGCAACACTATACAGATTCCTAGTCTAGGATTTGATTAAATCATTGTGCTGGTTGCTGTCTATAGCTCCAGGATCATTCCTGTATCCATCCCTAGTAGCGGCCTGTAGATTCAAGAATACCTTGTTACATAAAATGTCAGATGTCTACAGACCAAGTAGGGATGGTATCTAAAAGATAGTTCAAGGAATATTGGTATTATTTTCTACTCGTCCTGCTTGCATGGAAGCAAGTCAAGGCTTTAAATTTTATTTGTAGCAAATATAAAAGACAATAGCTGACAAGTAGGCACATAAACAGTACATAATCGAATCAGAAACAAACAAAATAGCCCCTTCACCAGGGTTACCTTGTAACTTGGCAGACTCTGTAAATTATACTGTAATTCTGTTGTCTCTAATAAAGCCAATTTTTCATATTTAATTTCAACTAACCCGTAACCAATAAGAAAGATATCACAAAGTTTCTCGTGATATACACATATCAATAGTGAACGCAAAACAATCATTATAAACCCTGTACAATTGCACAATTAAATCGTTCATTTGGAATATCTTAATCATTAAAATACTAAATATAAAGGCATCTATCTGTGACGATCCAGTGTCGTCTTTACTACTTAATATTATTGGCTAGGTGAACCCTGAAAGCACAGTGCGATCAATAAGGATCAATACTTCCCACTGGAAGTTCAAAACCTTCATAAAGACATAATGTCATGGACTCTTTCCTCACAAATAAGCCTTGTTTGTGTTCCCTCTTTGGTGGTTATGAATAAGTTGGCAATGCTACTTTAGCAAATAGGCATTCCTTTATAAGTATTGAATAGCTTCCTTCTAGACACGTTTTAACAGAGTAGGATTATATCTTATGGCCATACTGAAGAGACAACTTCCTCTGGGAATATCTACAGAATTTATGCAACTTACCAATAACACCACCAATACCCTGGCCATCTATTCCATCACAAGAATTAATGTCTGCACTGGCAACTAAGAAGTAAGGTCATGACATGAGAACACAGACCTCAAGTTGTGACAGGATGTATGTCTCTAACTAGGGAGCTGCTCAACCAGGTATCATAAAATTAGGGAACTATCACACAGATGATACCTTAACTGGTAATCAACTTTAGCAATAACAAAACATCTGGCGCTTGAAGACACAAGCCTATCTAAGTAACAGCTTTAAGTTGTGACTCTACACTGGCAAATGATGCCTTGAGCCCTTTAAAATCAGCAAAATGATAATTGCAGGGGTGCACATCAGTATCTCTGTAAGGGAAGGCATCACGGTTTGGACTTGCAAGCTGACACAGCTTTACTTCAACAGCTATATGGACAAGTGTCCTAGCACATCCTCACCAAAGAATCATCACTAGATTTCTACTTTAGGAGCCAATCGCTAACAGCTTGCAAGAAGCTCACAGTTCTCTGACTTTAAAAGGATGTAAAATCACCTAAATAAAATGACATTAAAGGTAACGTTTAATTGCAAACATAATCCCTTTAATCATGTATAACGAGGGAGTAACAATTTATACCTTCCAGACTATTTTATTAGCACTTATCCTGAACTCCAAACGCATTACTTTGAAGTTTGATAGAGGTCACGTGGAATCATGTAACAATACATTGCCTTTTGCCCTCAGTTTAACGAGAAAAAGGATTAAAAGACATCTAAACTGAAGCAAAAAAAAAAAGTAGTGACGTCTGTGTTTTATGGGGGTGTAACTCTAATAATAAAATATTTACAAGAGTTCAAATGGTGCCACCTTAATAAAAGGGGTGTATCAACAAGTAACCCTATAGGCAATTAAATCACTATTCAACTGCACATTTTGGACGTAATGGGAATATCCTAGCAAAATGAAAATCAAGCTATCACCAGCATATTGTTTTCAGTAACAAATTCTAAGTGATTCTGGAGATAAGCATAGCTTTTGGTGCAATCACAGATTCACAAGCAAGGTCCACAAGCCTATCCAAGTTCATGAAGTGGTAGCAACAATTAATAAGAAATAAATCAAACAAATAAGCAACTACATATTAAGACTGTGTTTGGCAGTTCCATGAGAACCAATCCTTGTCTGGTTTTTCTTTAGCCAGGCCAAGAAAAATGGTTTGCAGGTCAGAATCGAACTAAAAAGACTAGTTCCCAATCTAAGAACCTAATCGAAGAACTTTTACGCCAAGGTTGTCTCCACTAAAACTGGATTTTTGGAGTTGCCAAACACAGCCTAAAAGTATAAAGCTGCAAATGTTTGAGAATCATGTTAACAAAAAGAAATATACTGTTGCCCACTCTTTTGTGCGCATGTGTACACAAGTTTTTAAATATCAGATATCGGAGAAATGTCAGACAGCCAAAATTCATATCGGATTGTGGATACCGCGAAAATATCGAGGATATGTGGTAAATATCAAAGTGCATATCGCATGGTGTGGATATATAATATAATGTCATAAAATGTAATTTAATTAAGTAATTATCTAAACATATTTAATGAAATATAGGCATACAAAAAAAAATGTAAATAATATATGTTTAGGATCATTAATCAACCTTCTAAAACCTTCTAAAACAAATAAAGGTCCACATTGACATTACAATATTTAATTGCGCCGAAATGCCACTTGATATATTGGGAAAATCAAAATATGTCACCCAAAAATTGCCAAAAGCAGTACCTTGTTTTGTGACAAGCCATACAAAAGGACATGTTGACCAGCATATTGGCTGATATATGGGCCATGTTGAGGATATTTAAAACAATGTGTGTGCGTGCGTGCGCGCGTGTAACATATGTGCGTTTTAGGCTAGATCCATGTTCCACCGTCTTCCATATTTCGCTTCAAATATCATATAAAGAGCCAAGGACTAGCATGGCTCCTAGAGAAATTGCAGGATAAAAAGCAATAGTGTGGATATGGTAAAAGACTAAACCTCAAAGACTTTATTGATGGTTAACTTTGTGCAAGATGAAAATATTCAATGGTATTATATTAACTTCTAGTGAACAGCATTAATTCTTAAAAAGAAAACAAAAGATTATGTTTAATATGTAAAAGTACTTGTCAGTTTTCATCTTTTTTCCCCAAAGTGTGTTTTCATAGACAGGTTGAAATGTTTACAGTAAACAAGTTCCCAAATACAAACGAGCCTCTTCAGGAAGGAACTCTGATCGCCTTGTTGCTTAATTTCCTTTATAATAATTAAATCAATATCCTTTGTTTCCTGTGATTGTGTTTGTTGGCAAAGGCTTCTTTCTGTTGGTCCCCAGTAATGTTCCAAGTTAACGTTAACCTTTAGAACAACTGATTACTAGGGGTCCAATATAACAGTAGAACAACTAAAAGAAAAAGAAAAAGTAAACGTCCAAGAATAGAAAAAGCAAGATCAATATACTGATATGTTCCACCAATACTTGTTTGCAATATACACTCAAGGTGAAGGAAATTTCAACTGTAAGATAAGATTTCAAGAAAATAAGTATTACAATGAATTAATTTGAACAGGCAATGGGCTTCATATCATTCAAAACTTGAGTGCAATTAGTTTAGTATTATACCTTGTCCAATTTCTAAATGCATTTGAAATGAGATCATTTCAATAGATGATGAAAATCTGACTCTCCATGGTTGTTTAAATGAACAGTGCACGTTGTAATATTTCAATGTATGCTGTTGAGACCTCAGTATATGATAATCTGATTCTCAATGTTTTAAAAGTCGCCAATGCATACACATGACATGCACCCATATACACCCCAAAACTTGGACCACAACAACAAATTATCTTACTAATGAAGTGTCAACATCGTCTTGCTGAGCATTATACATCATAGTCATACCAAAACACAGATCAGGGATAAACAAACAAAACCAAACAAACTTATGAATAAATATCCATACATGCATAGATGCCTGAGATGGAGCCCTCTCAAGTTACAGAGAGATATCAATAGTAGGAAGCTGCAAATGCAGACAGTAAGCAGCTGAAAGCCGTTAGGGGTGTTCACAAGCAAACAGCTTGGACAAACCAGCTTTTAGCCAAAATTATAGTAAGCTTATCATCATCAGATATTCAGCACCAGTTCGTAAATACTACAATGTCGACTATTATTACCATAAGAACAGTTATGTTCCAGAGTGTAAAGAAGGCTCAAACTTTAGTAATTATCTTCCCTCCAACGAATTAGGAGTTTCAAATTAACTATACAGGAGATAAGTTTTTACAAGCACCTTTGAAAATCATGAATCATTCTTTTCCATACAAAACTCTCATGGAAGTAATGTGCGAGTTACTGATTTCCATAGCCAACTATATGCCAATTATTGGGGGTTAAAGCAGGAAAAACACTTTACAGGATCGTGGATTGTAGTGAATGGCTAGGTTTCATGATCAGCTATAAGTAAATCTGGCAGAATTGGGACTTCAATAATTATTATTACAAAACATTGTGTATCTTCTGACTCTAAGACGCCTAATTGCAAGGCCTAACTTTAAATGCTAGCAAATAAAGACATTCAATCTAAGGACTTACATCTTGTGTGGATTGACTGCTTTCAAAAGGACTGCTTAACACACAATATTGTATGCAACCCTATTGATCCTTATGTAAACAAATTAAAGGAAGCTAAAGAGGATGACTGCTATAAAACTAAATCAGTAAGAGTCCTTTAAACAAGTCTCACAAATATTGACTCTGAAATACTCTTGCGTATATGTGGCCAAATCCAAATCTATAGCAACAAGGAATGCAAGGCAACAAAGAATCCCATCTTCACACCAGATATACAATTTGATAAGTTCTCTTGATTGTAACTTCCATTTGTACTGCTGAAGGCATCCTTACAAGGTCCTATGGAGTTTTCTAAATCCCAAGCATTATACTCTTCATTATCTACAACATACTTTTACTGCCCAAGATTCCCTTACATTCCAAGCCACATTATGATGATGTCATTTTTGCCTCCCCATCTAGACATATCTTAGAAGAGACTCTTGTTGTCAAAAATGTAACTTTTGAGATAGGACTGACAAATGAAACTCTGCCTAACTTAGTTGATTCTTTTTTAAGACATCAGCCCAAATACTGAGAGAGAAACGATGATCACGAACTATCAAAAAGATGGCAAAAGAAAAAATAAAAAAACAATTGTCCGCATGAAATCACCATGACAGCCTGAAATAAATATCAATTTTAGAAGAAATCAGGGTTATCCCAATTTCAATCTAGGCATTCGACCAGGAAAAAAAAGCAGCATCAGAATGTTAAATCATCCATATGCATGTTTCTCTAGCAGGACAAATAGAGACGCAAACCACATGTTAAATCATTAGTATCATGGAAGGTTCATGCTTCATAAAATTATATGTGAAGAGTGTTGTTATCTGTAATTTATCCTTCTAAAAATGACAATACAGGTGAGCTAGGTGCCACTAAATTAGTTGAGGGGTGCTAACTGCTACTAGAAATATAGACTAAAGGTTTATGTGCAATCTACCCGGGAAGACAAAAGCATTCACAACAGATTTTAAGAAATTACCGAAAACATAAGGATTTGATAAGGGAGATTAACTAAGGTCCTTGAGATCCAAATATCACTTCAATCATGTTGCACTTATTGTTGTCTGCTAAATAAAAGCCCCCCAAGTATTCCCCTTGAAGTGAAATTACTTTATGAACTACATTCTTACAGATTCTCTCAATCCAATACTTACAGTCTATCAAAATGATGTCTTCATAACTTAAGCCATGCAAGGTGTATTACCTTTATCCTCCCAGACTCACATGCATTCACAAGCAGACAGGGATGTTGATCAAATATATTTCAAGTCAGAATATGTTAATTGCAAAAAATCAAGCAGTTACATCCCTTTATGTTCATGACTAGAGAGACACCAAAAGGAAGGGCATTTATAAAGAAAAGGACTTTAAAACACGAGCAAAAGGGGAATTGCATAGGCAATAGCCGTCTCTCAGTGAGAGAATAAAGCTAGTTAAATGTCGTTAGTTGCTTTGTTGCTAGTAAAATGAGTGGTTAGATTAATTTGGTTAGCCCTAGTCAAAATATACAGATCTAAGTCAATCTAGTTGTTCTTTCATCTTCTGTGCATCAATGTGAAGCCATGTAACATGTAAACAGGATGAGGTGAAACTCCAATATTCAATTTCTCGTCTTTGTTTGCCAATGAATAGTAAGAACAAATGGCATATATGCCTGAACTATTCCAACTTGCATTAATAGAGAATTGCCATGAACAGTTTTTTCAAATTGTCAACTGAACTAATCTAAATTAAATTTAATTAAACCAGCTAGTCTAGTTATTCTTATTCTTCGGCAAATGGAACTTAGTAGAACAAAAAACTAGAAGGCCAATTTGTCACCTCAACAGTAACGGGAGTCAAACACTATACACTAAACATTCCACTCTAAGTTATGCAGTCAACCTCACTTAAATACTCAATCTCATTACTTCAAAAATGGCCCAACTCTTCATAGTTTGTATTGCTATGCCATGTATTTTTCTGTAGAAACTCAGAAGCATGAATGCATAGGTAAAGAAGATGCATAAAAACTATTCCGTACGAAAGCATTGTTCAACCATTAAAATCAAAACAAATTATGCCTTGGTTACAAAATGTGCGCTAAAATCCAACATAACACGAACAAACTAAGTTAACCTTCTTTAACATATCAGCCAATCAAAGAAAACGTCCACCTTGAACTACTGAAGACAACTATCAAGAAGAAACACAAGAAAAGTCCTTTCCTTCTTGACCTTTATCATGAGGGATAAACTAAACCGAATTTTATCTTTTATTTTTCCCTGATATAACATGTCTTCAATTTGGCATGCCTCATACCACCTACGTGGCTGGATTGTAAACAAAAGCTCGAAGGCAAGTACAGCCACATCCACTGGCGCTTTCATCTCCGGCGTCATAGTAAAGTAGTCCAAAGCCATAATCTTCTTCAACTTCTCCCTCAATCCCGCATCTATCCAAACAAAAGAAACACAATAAAAATCAAACCTCTACAAAACATAACAACATACTAAGCTCTGGCACATACAAGTAGCTGATGTTCCCTCGAGAATAGGCTGATCCGAGTTCTCAAGCCACAGTTTCGCCCGTTCAATGCACACCTCAAGCGCATTCTTGTGCGAAACCCCCGAATAAACCGGCCGCGACGTCAGCAGCGCGCTGAGAGCCGAAATCATGTCGAGATCGCCCTCACCGAGCAAATCCGTCGCGTCATCAGTCACGTAGTCGTAGGTCAAACAGCACCCCCGCTCATGAGTCTTCGTCAGGAAGCTCGACGTGAATTTGAGGAGGTCCTCTTGCTCCTTGTTTAGGGTTTTACCCTGGGCCTGGCTCTCCTCGAGTTGGATTATGCGGTTGTGCTTCTTCTTGAGAGCGCGGAGCTTCTTGGTGATGAGGATGAGGACGGAGACGGAGAGCTTGGATTTGAGGAGGTCCTCTTGCTCCTTGTTTAGGGTTTTACCCTGGGCCTGGCTCTCCTCGAGTTGGATTATGCGGTTGTGCTTCTTCTTGAGAGCGCGGAGCTTCTTGGTGATGAGGTTGAGGACGGGCCCTTCGGAGACATCGGAGCTCGAGACCGACGCCATGGAATTTCTCTTCCTTGTCGCAGTTGGCGGAGTCGGCGGAGATTAGGTTTTGGCGTGGGTTGGGGTTTTTCTGATGGAGGCGATTTGGGGAATCCAGAGAGAGAGAGAGAGATTGTAAATATCAAGGGTTTAAGAAGAGCGTGAAGGATGGGTGAGAAGATTGGGTTGGGTGGGGGCAAACAATTCTGATTAGTTTGGACTCGTGTGAGTTGAGCTGCTGAGGCAGCTGGCTCGTGTGAGATCATAAGCCATGGGTTGGGTTAAGCGTCTTTCTCGATGCGTACTTGCGTAGGCGGATAAAATACAATAATAATATCAGCTTTCCCCGCCTTTAAAAATTCTTTTAAGTTAAAAGGATACCTAAAAGATAGCAATGATAAATTAATCTCTACACGTTATAGTTATAGATAAGTTTGTTAGTTTAAAATTGTTTGTATAAGTTTTATTTGATATATGGATTAACTAACTCATCTACAAGATATGCAATTCAAAAGAATCAACGATCTTTCAACCATGAAAGCACATTGATGCTGCTATGGATATTGATAAAAAGAATATTTGTTTATACTAAGAAAACTTAACTAAAAGATATCAATAGTGAATTAATTTGCGCATGTCATGGTTACATAGCACGGTGCGTGGGATAAGTTTGTTTTGAAAATTGAAATTGTCTATAGATTTTAGCTACATATGATATGGATAAACTTATCTACAAGGTTTGCACTTTGATCTAGACCATATGATCAAGTATCTGTCAATTACAATCTTGCATAGGTTATGGATATTTTAAAGTTCAGTGATAATATATGCATACGCAACTATTTAGGTATGTACGGTATATCAAATATGAATATTAAGCATCCTATTGAACATCATTACGGATAGCAAAATTGACCCACACGATCCCACATCATTAGATTGAGGAAAGTCGCAACAAATAATGATTTAACTATTTTGGTTTAAAATTTTGATGTACGCCTAAAAGATAGCAATGATAAATTAAATTGTACACCTTATAGAGAAGCTGTTAGGTTGAAGTTGGTTGTATAAGCTCTACTTGATATATGGATGAACTCGACTATAAGGTTTACAATTCAAACTGGACTATACAATCGACGATATTTCAATCATATCAAAACACATTGATGCTAGCATGGATATAGATAAAAGAATATTTTATTGTTTTTTTTTTAACGCTATGATTATCAACTATTAGTCTTTTAAGTAAAAAAATTTGTTTAACCAAAGAGAGTTTAACTGAAAGATATCAATATAATAAATTTTTTTGTGCATGTTATAGTTACACAACGCAATGCAGAGGTCCATAGAATAAGTTTGTTAGTTTTGAAAATTGAAATTGTCTACATGTTTTAGCTTCAAGACATGGATGAACGTCTTTTCTGCAAAATTCGCACTTTAATCTAAACCATACAAGCAAGGATCTATCTTGCATAGTTCAATGGCATTTAATAGAGATACAAATATATAAAGACATTGGGTGATAATATATGCATACACAACCATATAGGCATAAACATCAGCTAGTCATGAACACCGTGCAAAACACGACATATCTTTTTTCCCTGCTACAGTAATCCCTTTTTTTAAATCCTGCAGCCTGCTATAGTTTAATATACTACAGTATTCTCGTGTGCTACAGTGGATTTTTCCAAAACCTTTCTAGTTTCATGTTGCTACAGTGATACTGCTACAGTAAATATTAGTGTTTACCGTAGCATGAATAGTGAATCTTGGGTTTTCCCATTTGTATAGAGGAGCAGATATGAATATAGAGTATTCCTAATGAACACCAATAAGGATAGGATAACCATGTCCATTCAATAGCCAAAAAAATATTTTGACTTTTGTTTGTTGGAAATTTGATGTAAAAAGACGATGAAAGAAAAATTTGACTTGTATTCCTCTCAAAATCAATTACAATTTGGATTCCGATTACAAAAGAGAGGAGAATGAATTCGATTCTCCCCTTTGTTTAATTCTGGGTTCTTCACGGTGGCGATGAGATGCCTCCCTCGAATGCTCGCGTCGAGTTTGCTTCTCGTTGACGATCCGAACGTCTTGATTCACTGGAACGATGTCATCTCCTCACGATTTGACGCTGTGGAGAACTTGCGTGGCATGTTTTGAAATAACTCTTGACGAGTTGATAACTCTGAACGAGTTTTAGAAGAACTTGCAGAGCAAGTTTTGAACTCTGATCGAGTTGATAACTCTGAACGAGTTTTAGAAGAACTTGCAGAGCAAGTTTTGAACTCTGATCGAGTTGATAACTCTGAACGAGTTTGAACTCTTGAAAAAGAGTTGATTTGAACCGAAAGTTCAGTTAATAAGCCAAGGAAGAAGCTCCTGTTGCTGGTCTCCAAAACTCCTTGTTGCTGCAGAACGCGGCAAGATGCTCGATCAAGGATCCCCAAAAAGTCATCTCCCCCCTCCCAAAAAAAAAAGAGGATCCGAACTCAGTTGAGTTTTGAGGTATTTATAGGGGGTTAAGGGTATAACCGCCCCCTTAAATATCTCCTTAATGAGGGTTTAATGGGGTCTAACTGCTCCCCATAAATCTCTCCATGATAGGGTAGTGATCCCCTAAAATCTTGGGGAGAAAACGGTTCTGGAACCGTTCAAATCGTGCTTGAACGAGTTAAACGCTGAAAACAGCGTTCTGGGCTCGAACTGTGCGTTTCTGGACCTGAAACGCACAGTTGAGGTTGAAAAACGCACAGCTGGGGCTGAAAACGCACAGCTGGAGCTGAAAAACGCACAGCTGGGCTGAAAACGCACAGTTGAGGCTGAAAACGCACAGCTGAGGCTGTTTTAAAGATTAACTCTGCGTTTCTAGATTAAAAACGCAGAGTTGAGCCTGTTTAAAGGCTGAAAACGCACAGTTGTGCTGTTTTAGCGATTAACTCTGCGTTTTGATGTTGAAAACGCAGAATTGAGCATGTGCGCTTTGGAAAACGCACAGTTGTGCTATTTTAGAGATTAACTCTGCGTTTAGATGTTGAAAACGCAGAGTTGAGCCTGTTAACGGCTGAAAACGCACAGTTGTGCTATTTTAGAGATTAACTCTGCGTTTTGATGTTGAAAACGCAGAGTTGAGCATGTGCGCTTTGACTCTGTAATGCAGAGGCGAACCTTAGGCGGGCTTGGCGGGCTTCAGGCTAAGTCCAATGTTCTGATGAAGTCCAGTCTTGCAGACGGTCTTCAGAACATTACTTGCTACGAAGAACAGGTCATAACTTTCAAACCGTACGTCGGAATTGGACGAATTACATATGAAAATCGGCTATCTCGACGAGACGGGGCCATCCGAACCTAGCCGAAGGCTTCGGTTCGCTTCCTCCGTTTTGCCAAATTCCTTACGGTTTGAGAGATATCTGCATTTTAATATGAAGAGACCGTCAATTTGTAGTCTCTTTTGCTAGAGCTTTGCACAGATCGTCCTCTTGTAATCTTCGTCTTGGCTCCTTGAAAATATGAGAGTCGTCAGGTTGTAACTCCCGATGTTGATTGTGAATGCTGTTGAATTGGGGCCTTCATTAGTTGTTGTGAAGGTCGTCAGATTGTAACCTTCTACGTGAAAGTCCTCAAATTGTAGCCTTCTGGAAGTCGTCAGATTATAACTTCCATCATCGGTGTTTGATGAGGGATTAACTATCTATTGTGATTTTTAGACAGCCTACAGAACCCCCTCCAAAGTTTTCGAAAGTTCGCGGTTGACTGGGACGAATTTTCGGAATACTTTGGATCTCAACTCTGATCTTGGAGCTGTTGATTCCTTGTCACAAAGGAGTTGTTCTCTGCACTCGCTTCGAAAGCAGCTTGGTTGAACGGATTTTCCATGCAGGACCTGTGTGAAGGTATGTGCCATAATCCTGCTTCTGGAATGTGGGGGTGGACCCTGCATTTTGAACTTGAGATGCGGGTTTCACCGTTGCATGTTGAATTTGGAACACAGGTGTGACCTCGGCGTTTGGTTTTTTGCATCGCGGGTCAACATTTTGACTTAAGACATGGAAGTGGCTTCCGTGCATTTTTGACTAAGTCTTTGAGACTTGTCTTTGGCGCATCTGTTTTAAGTCTCGACTCACATCTATTAAGCTGATGGGCCTGCAAATGTGCGTAGGATTTTTGGCAAACCCTCAGCCATCAACGGATTTGATAAGCCTTTACCGATTACCGTTTGAGTCGGGCTAGCATGTGAATTATCTAGGTCCGTTCCACATGTAACGTTGTGCTAAGAGAATGAACTCTCTTAGTCTTGATGCTATGATTTTGAATACATAGACTTTGTCATTTTGACGGGAAAAGACTAACCGGCAACGCGTGTTAGGCGTAGACTTATCTCTATTTAGGGATCAAGATAAAGTCCCCCATGCGTGTGAGGCATGGATTTTGATGTCCTTTTCACGGTAAAAGACTAACCGGCAACGCGTGTTAGGCGTAGACTTATCTCTATTTAGGGATCAAGATAAAGTCCCCCATGCGTGTGAGGCATGGATTTTGATGTCCTTTTCACGGTAAAAGACTAACCGGCAACGTGTGTTAGACATTGACTTATCCCTACTTAGGATTCAGGATAAAATTCCCCATGCGTGTAAGGCATGGATTTTGGCGTTATTAATAACGACCTGCTACGATATTGAATACGTAGGCTTTGCTATTATTGCGGGAATAGGCTACCCGGCAGCATGTGTTAGATGCAGACTTATCTCTAATTAGGGATCGAGATAAAGTCCCCCATGCGTGAAGGCATGGATTTTTGGTGTCATTTCTTTCTGTGTAGCTTGAAACACCGAAAGAATTAACAAGTTCATTGGGGGGTTGACTGTTAGAGGTGTTATGTTAACATAACAGTATTTTATGGACCTATCGCTCTATTGAAGAGAGTCGATAAGTGGATTTTGTCAGAGGTGTAGTGTTAACGTGACAAGAAAGATATTGCTATGGAAGCAATTTTGAGAACTTATCGCTCTATTGGAAAGAGTCGATAAGTTGATTTTTGTCAGATTGAAGAGAGTCGATAAGTGGATTTTGTCAGAGGTGTAGTGTTAACGTGACAGGATTTGTGTTGCAATTGGAGCAACTTTGGGGACTTATCATCCTATTGACGAGGATTGATAAGTGGGTTTTGTCAGAGGTGTAGTATTAACGTGACAGGATTTGTGTTGCAATTGGAGCAACTTTGGGGACTTATCATCCTATTGACGAGGATTGATAAGTGGGTTTTGTCAGAGGTGTATTGTTAACGTGACAAGAATT